TTACATAGATATGTGTTCGGCGGCTTTTACGCTCACATACGCTTCTATGCTGCGCTTCGCAGATGCTTTTTCATAGCTTGGTAATACAAAACTAAAATTTGTGTTAACATTTCAACATCTTGGGACCGTCTGGAATCTAAGAAATAACAGCGAGCACCTCTGCAAACTCAGCTACAGCTAAAGGTATGTAAACGTACATTTCTTACAATCATTCAAACAAATTTAATTTCAAATTGAAAACACATTTCTTCCAAAAAAAAAATTAACATCGCACACACGGAAGAACCAAAAAGACTAAAAAATCATGATACTTTTTTCTTTCGTCCGTCGATTTCAGAACTGGTTCGGAACTATAGAATTTAGGGCTAGTTCGGAACTATCAAAAAAGGGATGCAGCGGGCGGCAATTGACACTTCCTAGGACATCGCCATGTTAAACTCGCCAGTTGCTTGCATGCAAAAGAGATTTATCGCGAACCAGTACTGGGTCTAAATGTACTAGAAGCGCACCAGTTCAGAACTAGAGATTTTCCCCACAGGGTAGCGTTAAGTCGTTTAAACTTTCTTGCTTTGCTTTTGGCATTTTCGTTGCTTCCCATTTAAAGAACCAATAAAATTATAGTTTAAAAAACTAAACCCTCCCTATTATAATTGCCATTCGTACTGTCAACAGGTATGTAACTTGAGCATAGAAATCGCTGCATCTTTTAGGTGCATCAATATTACATAGTTACATCCCGAGCTAATAAAAGGAAGGTAAAAACTTGAATTCAACAGAATTGAAACGTGTAAAATCAAATAGAAAACACAAAAGAGAATGAGCAAGAATTGCTTTCAAGTACTTGAATAATGTAAATCGGGTGTTTGAATGGTTGTATATATATATGTGTACGTATCAGGGCTGCCACTTCCGAAAATAAATATTTACCATCCACGTAAAAAAATCTATCAAATCTGGAAAATATCTACCAATAACTTTTTTTAGTTCTTTTAACAAAAGTTATAGTTTTGTTCCATTTTTTAGTTATTGCTATAAAAATTAAAATTATTTATTAATGAACTTTGTATTTACCCCGCAGGGAAAGCTACTACTTGTGAACTAGAATTCTACCAGTTTGCGTTTCAGCCCAACTAGTTCACGTTCTATCCTTTTTCAATGTTAGTGACTGGTATTTTTAACATTTCGATGTTCTACGAGATGTCAATTGTCAGGCTATGTATCAGCATCTACTAGTAGAAATACTAGTAGCATCATACCAGTTGATGAGATAGTCTGCCAATTCATCCCCTATGAAAAGCATTAGTATTACTTTTTGCTCGGGGCGCTCCAACAGTCGCAATGGCCGACAGAGCAAAGCTCTCGCGTGGTATGCCTGAGGTACCAGGTTCGAAAATGTCGAACTGGTAGGCACATACTACTTTATGAACTAGTATTTTTTCTAACTGGTTTGGGTTTTCACAGCAGGGTAACTAATGACATGGTATTTGAGATCATATTAATGGCATCTTATTGTTTTTTTTTCAACCGAAAGCGAAAGTGATGAAACTTAAATCAACAAGGAAGCATCACCATTTGAAAAAACTTCAACTGGAGTTATAATAGACAAATACATTTACTCATTGGTAATTTTTTAATATTTACAATGTTCTTCAAGTAAATTTTTTTCTCTCTTTCGTATAAGAATATTGTATTATTAACCAAACCCACACAAATCAAGGATTCAAGCTTTATCCAACATTTATAAAAATTAAAAAAAAAGTCTAAATTTCGAACTTTTAACTCTGAATTTTTACAATAATTTTGGGTATGCAGTTTTATCGTCGCCGGACTTTCGTGTTTTTTTTTTCATTTAATAATTGCGTTTTATAAAAACTGGCGTTGATTTTTAAATTTTTTTTTGTGAACAATCATGGTGTGTATTTACATGCCTGTCCATTTTTTCTTTCTATTTACATAATCATTTAAAATATTTAGGGAATCAAAAGCTGCTCAGGATTTCAGTAAAATGAGTTTTGAATGGACCACGATTTGTTCACCTTTTATCGATATGTATGTATGGTAAAATACAGCTACTCCGCTGGCTTGGCCATATCGTTCGAATGGACACCGACACTACAGCTCTGAAAGTATTCAACTCGGGGTTGGTGGTAGCAGAGGAAGAGGGAGGCCCCACTGCGATTGAAAGACCAGGTGGAGAGGGACTTGGCTTCACTTGCCAGAAAAGAAACGATTGCTGTGCTTTGTTGAACTGGGCCGAAATCGCTTAGAGCGCAGTTACCCACGAACGTGTACGTAGCGTAGCGTACAAGAACGTAGAAAGATATCAAGTGTGCTATTGATAGAAAGAGAGAGAAGCAACGTCTACGTCGCGGACATGCGGTGGTGAGTTTTTGTTAGCACGTAGATCCCATAGGATAGTACGTGTCAGCTGACACGTTCTCCGTTTTTACGTCCGCGGATAACTGCGCTTTTAAGCGGTTACAGCGGCAAATAAGAAGAAGATGTATGTATCTAAAAAGTGTGCATTAAACCGTTTGAAAATTAATGCAATAACGTAAACACTTTTGGAAAATAATTTATAATATACATAAAGCTAACTTAAAGCTTAAACAGTCGGAAGCGTTGATCCGGATTAACTCGGACTTAATCCGGATCAACTGCAGTTAATTCCCTAGTTGATCCGGATGAACGCTGTCGTCTGTTTATGCTTTAAGACAAATGAAGCGGGAACTAAACTTTTATTTGTTTTTCAAACAAAATAATTTAACAAAAATCTACCAAAATGAGACAAAATTTACCTTTTTACCAACCCAAATTTTTTCTACCAATTTTGGTAATAATTTATCAAAGTGGCAACACTGGTACGTATGTACATATGTTTGTGTATGTACATATGTTTGTGTACATGTATATATGCACATATGTAGTACAAACGAAAACAAATCTAATAAGCTGCTCGTTGATATTAATGCGAACAGTACTGATTGTCAAAAATTATGTGTTTGTTGTGCATTTGTTCATGTTTGTCATTGGGCGTGTAATTTTCTAGAGTAGTTTTGTGCTCTCGCTTTCTCCTTGGATTAACGCGTCCTTCGTTGGTATACTCTGATGAACATATGTGAGGATGATAGCAAGACCAACTTATATAAGGTAGTGTTAAAGGAGCACTTGAAATTTTCGCCCGATGTTTCCTAAAGAAAGCCATAGACGTAGCGACCGTTGGTTCCACTTGGTGTTATTTTGCTCTAGATTGCGCCGTTTATGGGCTTGTTGAATGAATTTTTGTCTTGGTTGTATGAAAGATCAAAAAATTTGGATTTTCTGGCAAGTTGTACAACTTATCGTAACATCAATGGCCATATTGTACAAACTCATTTAATTTTCGTTTATTTTGTACACTAAATAACCGAAAATGGATAACTCAGCCGAAATAGGTACGTTCTTTTGTTGAATTTTATAAATGTAAGCCGAAACTATGAAATTGTAAAAATGAGATTTTACAATGAGACTGCTTGCAAAATTGCAATGTTTGTGGGCAAAACGTCCAACTTGATTGCCGATTGATTTGAACCAACGTTTTCGGCTTGCATTATGTCAAAAGGATGTGTTTGTTGTAATTCATTCTGTCATTTACTACCATTATGCGTAGGCCAATTCATGAAATCATTTCATGCGTTTGAGTAGAAACTGAATGAATGAATACCATTTCATGATTAAAATTAACGCGAAATAGAGTTTATGCACCTAGTTTTTACTCAGATCGATGAAATGATTTCGTGAATTGGACTACTCATACATGTGATACTTGTGCTTTTAAATTGTAAGGTAATTTTATGTTTTTATACTCTTGCTACCACATGAATATATGAATTCGCCTTGGAAGATAGAAAGCGAGTAAGAATAAATGCCGAACAAAGGAATTTGTCTTCTTTCAACTTAACCCAGATATGCCCATTCCTTGTACATTAAAATTTCCAAAGTGCTTTTCTTTTATAGTCAATTAAAATTATGATAAAAAGACCGTGTTGCAATGATTTCAAAAAAATTTTATTTGAAAACAAGTTTTTTGAAACCGCCCTATATATAGGACATTGGGCACATGACATACTGTCAACTTCATCTAACTTATTTGGTATGATATGTGACAAAACATTTTACATGTAATCCTATATTACATTTTTGGCATCTTGTTGTGGTTTTTTGATGACAAGCGCCACATCTGGTCTGTTTTTCTTGTGGAACTACCCAATGGTCTAATCGATCATAACGCAATTCTTCATTGGGACTTTGCGTTACCTTTTTTATTTTGGGTGAGTAAAGTTGTCGTAATACTTCGCCTGAAAGATACATAGCTGTTCCATTTCCTCCATTATGTTTATTTATCTGACAGGCATTTTGAGCAGCCATATCCACACAGTGAGTTATGAGAGGAAAATACCATTTCTTACCTCGTATAGAAGTGCAGCATAAACTAATATTTTGATCTGCACGATCGATTCCTCCCATGCTCTTATTATAATTTTTTACGATACGTGGTTGCTCGTCTTGTATGAATTTTTTTTCTTTTTGGGAGTATCGCTTCGTGAAACTTGCGGGATTTACTCCGATCGCATTCGAACAAAATGTAACGATATTATTGTCATTCCACTTTATGAATATTATATTGCTATCAACAATTTTATTGAAATCATAACTACCGCGAGCATTTTTCTTCATGCCGTAGAATCAATCAAATTGCTTCCAGGAATACGATTTTCCCTAATTGTGCCAGTGCCGAAAATATGTTTTTCGCTCAAGTATTCAAGCAGAGCGATGGAAGAAAAGAAATTATCGAAATACAAGTGAAATTTGGGGTCCTTCCATTTTGACCTCCAGACGTCAGCATATTCAAGCATAACAGACGTTCCAACTTCAAGATCCTTATAATTTTTACTGATATTTGTGGAAGCGCCTTGATAAGGTTCGAACCAGTTTATATATCCTTGCCGAGTCGTACCTACCCACAGCTTGAAACCATAGCGAATTTGTTTGCCATGAATATACTGCTTACAGCCGTGCCGTCCTGTGTAAGGAACCATGGCTTCGTCTACGCTATGATCTTCTTCAATATAAGCAGTTTCCATAAATTTTCTATTTAAATGTGTAAATAATGGTCTTACTTTGGCAACTTTGTCAGAGTGATCTAGCAAGTTGTTATCCTGGCAATGTATATTGGACACTATGAACTCAAATTTGTTTCTTGAAATTGCCTCACAAACAAGTTCGTTATTGCAATCTTTCGAGCGTTCCCAAAACAATCTTCTTATGGGTAGTGGAATGTATCCACTAATAAGCAGTATTCCAATAAAATCGTTATTCAAAATGGAACAAAAGAGAGAAGTAGGAGAATGCTCAGTTATGTCGAGATGTTCATCGTTTTTTTCAAAAGCAGTATCATTGCTGGGTAGGTCCTCCTTTTCATAATGATATTTTTTACTTTTTTTCGGTTTGGTGTGTAAGTTTTTTCTAATTTCGGACAATGGTATGTCATCATCTGAATCCCATTGATGATCGACATTGGTTTTCGAAAAGAGTTCGACGGTGCTCTTCATTTGCGAAGCCGGTAAATTGTTTATATCGACGTAATCCTCGTCGGTAACATCCGCAGTTGCATTTATTGGTGGTAATAAAGCTATGCTATCGTAATCCATACTATCATCCTCTAACAGGGCCAAAGCTTCATGCAGAGAAAATCCCCTGTAAGAAATGTATAGTATAGTATATGCCCAATGTCCTAAATATAGGCCACCAACTTTTTCGCTAATACAACAATATTACAACACAAAAAAGTTTCATGCATAAAACAGTCGAAGAACATGTCATATATGCGAATAAATATAAAAACATTGATTTATAATATTTGAACATGCCACTTTTTACTTACCGTGCAAAGGTAGCATTATATTCGGTCATTTTAGAGAACTAGCAAACTTTGTAAATCAATTACGCAGAAATTGTAGCAAAAAATTACTAAAACGTACTGTCGCCAGCGAGGTATAGACAAACACTAACTAAATTAGTAAAAGTAGCGGTTCTTGGAAAAACGTTATTCGTGGTGTAAATTCATGTGCAGCTGACCTATATATAGGACATTGGGCATGCATTTTGCAAACTAAAGTGCGTACGTTACTTAGTACCTTGGTAATGGCGAATTCGTAAGGACCTATTGATTGCATTATAAACATTTTCATTTATTTGTTAAACATACAATTACTTCCATTACAACCCGGTCCTATGGATGCTAGAAGCGCGAATTCATATAAGGTGGTGTTACCAGAAAATGAATAAATAAATTGTATGTCAGAAAATTAATGAGATAAAATGAAATTATTGTTTGATTCTAACCAAACATACATACATAGGGTATGTAACTCAATCTAATGGTTTGCCCAACCGTAAACATATGTTTACACATCCAATTTCGTGAGTAGGTACCTGGTACCCACACCTTTTTTAAGAAGTTTCACTTCTATCATGTGTACGGTGTTACACACGCATTTTTTAAAGCTTTAAAATGAATTTTGGAGGGNATTTTCGGAATCAGGGGGTGATTTTACATAAGAATTTCATAACGGCGTTTCTGGTAAAGAGAAAAAGTTGAAATTTGTGGTCCAGTGTTATCTAAAAGCAAGAGACTGCATCTTTCTCTTTAAACTCATCAGCACAAAGACCCCTCTTTATCTTTATGAGAAATTAATTTTTCCAAAGTCTGAGCGTTCCTGTGATCTAATGGTGCCTTTCTTTATCTTTAAGACCTCTACTAGACTATTTTCCATTAATGCTATACGAATCTGGAATTCAATTCCCGCTGCAATTAGAAGCAATATCAATAAAAGTAACTTCAAAAACATTCTATATATCTACTTTTGTAACAATTGATGAACCATCTAATATTTAAAGTTAATCTCTGTTAACCTATGAATATATGATTTATGATTTAATTAATTATATGTATTAATGTATGTGTTTGTATTGAATTTATTTGTTGTACTATAAAATATCTTGGTCTTACTGTACTAATATTTAATATTGAAATAAATTGAAATTGAAATTGTATTACAGGAGCTCAAATGTGCCCAAAAACCGTGATTTTTGTAGCTTTATGTTAGAATATCTCGAAAACCTGACGTGATTGGGCTGTGCTGGGGTTAGATTCGAATTCAGCACGTCAAAGACCTTCGGAAAAGCATATTCCGATTCTTGGTTAGAAAGCCTTGTTGGCCTGTGTTACCAGTTTGGTTTTCAGCCCAACTAGTTCACGTTCTATCATTTTTCAATGTTAGGAACTGGTATTTTTAACATGGTGTTGTCCTACGAGATGTCAATTATCACGCTATGCATCAGCTTCTACTAGTAAAAATACTAGTGGTATCATACCAGTTGATGAGATAGTCTGCCAATTCTCCCCCATGAAAGCATAAGTATGCCATTTTGCTGCGTCGCTCTAACAGTCGCAATGGACGACAGAGAAAAGCACTAGCATGTTACTACTGAGGTCCGCGGTTCAATCCCTGACGCAGGGAAATTTTTTGATTTATAGTATGTCTTACGTTTCGATGTGGAGGCTATGTTAAAATGTTGTAATTTTTAAAGCTTCACGAAAACGCTTATTGCACGAGAACTAATTAAGCGATTTCAAAAGCACAGTGTGGAGTTTCAAAGACAAAATTCCAAATTTATCGACGGATACATTTTTGTAAGTAACCAATTTGGTCTTTGTCGTAAAAACAACGGTAAATATTGGCATATTTTGGGGTACATTTTGAGCCTTTAAATTGCTCTAGCAACTTACGATTCGCAGATATAACCTCCATTTTCAGTGTATAGGTTCTTTGAAACAATTGAACAAATTTTGTATAAAGTCAACAAATATTGAGCATTTTAAGACAAACAATTTTTGAAAAAATTAACCATTTTCGTTTTGTTTTCTTTAAAAGTTCAAGTTTTCTTTTCGTTTGGTATATGGGAAGTATTGGTGGATAACTTCTAAGTATATTTATTTTATTCAAATTTATGGGCATTAATGGTTTTCCAGGCACCCTGAAATTGTGCATATGGAAACTGTGCATACGAAATAATGCATATAAAAACCAAAATTATGCATACGAAAAAAACGGAAATAATCCATATATGCACAGTTTCGGTAAAAAGCCGAAAAAAAACCGAAATAATGCATATATTTCATTTTCATTTCATTTATTATAAAATATAACATTAGCACAATAAGATCCCAATGATCTTTTATAGTAGACTGTAACTTATAATAAAGAATTAAAATATGTTGATGTTTAAAATTAAGTAATATATAAGTCAACAAGTAATTTTTAGCAAAAAAAAACCGACTTCAACTCTCATATAAAAAAAATATATATATATATATCTCATGATCCACTGATCGGTCTTAACCAGATTAGTATGGGACCACCTCTGAGACACTACCTTTCCGATGCAGAATTATCGAAATCGGTTGANAATATGTTAATGTTTAAAATTAAGTAATATATAAGTCAAAAACAGGAACAACAAAAACTTACAAAACTCTATAGAGAATCACAGGTGGAGCATAAGGAAAAACATAAGAATAATGTATTGATTACCCTATACCTAACTAGATAGCGAGCCTCAGAGGAAAGGGTATAACTTTGGATATGAAATAGCATTTTAACGAAAATAAGAATACAAAACACTCTTAAAGTTGCTTATGTTCAAACTATTACGAATATGAGATGGAATCGAGTTCCAGGTGCGAAGAGCATTAACAAAAAATAGTCTTGCAGATGTTAGATAATTATAGTTGGGCACGATCAATTCCGTTAGGCGCGCAGATTTCGAGAAAGACAATTTTTCAAACAAATAGCTAGGTTCCTTATCCATCATAAGGCGAAATAGAAAAATGCAATTTATAGCCTTTAAGTATTCAAAAATACCGCATCCCAAGAGCAGCGATTTCCATTCAGATATATGATCGTATTTCGCCAACCCAAAAACATACCGCGTAACGTGATTGAATACCACATCAATTTTATGAGCAGATTGTGAGTCCAGCTTACTGTAGATTAATTCCGAGTGACATATTATAGGCAATATTAATTGAATGGCGAGTTTACGCCTAATGCACACCGGTGTAAAAGTAGCAGACATTCTTAAATTCCACAGAGTATAATATACTTTGCCGACAACGGAATTAATATGATCAATGCAGGTTAAACTAGTGTTTATAACAAAACCAAGGTTAGTTACTTTTGACACAAACTTAAGGGACTTATCACCAATGTGCAGAGAAGACTTCACATTACAATTAATATTTCTTTGACATACTGGTAAAACAAATAATTTTTCACTATTAAGATATAGACCGTTTCCCACAGGCCATGAAGATATAGACGATAAATCACTATTGAAATCCGCGCACAAATTAACCACATCGTCATGAGCCCCTGACAAATAAATTTGAATGTCATCATATATGTATGCACATTTCGGTTGAAAACCGCAATAATGCATATTAGAAAAACCGAAGTTATGCATATGCACACTTGCTTTGAAAACCGAAATAATGCATATGAGAAAAACGAAGTAATGCATACATGCACACTCGACTCAAAACCGAAGTAATGCATATAAGAAAAACGGAGTAATGCACACACGCACAGTTTCGGTTCAAAACCGAAATAATGCATCCCAGCAAAAAAACGGTAATCGCTTTTAGTGGTAACGTGTTCTAGAATGGATTGTCTTATAATGCCATCGAATTTTTTCGTTTCGTTTAGGCATTGTCGGTAATGCAAAGTAGAATGTCCTACAATATTTTATTTATTTCGCTTCTTTGTTTCATTTCGGGGAATGCAAAGTAGAATATCCTACAATATTTAGAATGCTGCAGCACAGTCAGCTGAAAAATAGAATGAATATCCAAAAATTCTTTTTCTACCGTTACTTCTGGGGAAGTTTGTCTCGCATAAAAATCATGTTTTGCTTTGTTCAATTTGCAGCGAAGTTGAAGACGGTGAAGACGGTTAAACTAGTTTAGCCTGGGCAAAACTAAGATCGGATTTTACCTGCAACATATGTATATGTACATAGGCACATGTAACTTATCCAGTCTTTATTTGGCCTGCCACAAAAAATGTTAATATAAAACAAATTTATTTGATAAATTAAATTCAAACTATTTTTAAGATAAATAAATTATTACACTATGACTATCGATAGAAACGGCTTTTAAAAGGCTTTATTTCTTAATTACATATAGGGGGGTTGCCACCTGTCTCAAAAAGCAAGTTCGACTTAAATAAGGGCAGAAAAATGTATATCCTGATATGGATGTCAAGCGAAAGTGGCCCTGTCAAAATAAGAAAGTGGTTGTGGTTTGAAGATATTTTGCAGAGGGTTGCCACCTTGTTACAGAGTTAGATTGAATATAAGCCATAGGTTGAATGAATTACTTCAAAGTGAATATAAATCAAAATTGCTTTGAATAATCTTTACTTCCAAACTTCATGGAGGAGGGTTGCCACAGGATTTTATATTTAAGTTCTATTTGAATTAAAAGTATTAGATAATTTAAATATGTATCACAATACAAGTGTCAGAAGAAAAAGGTTTAATAAATTAAAGTATATGAAATATTGAAATATTGTCGTCAAACAAAGGAGTATTAAGAAATACTTAGTTAAGCATTTATAACATTAAAGATGGTTTTTACCTGTGTAAAAAGTTAATCTCATATAACACCGTGCGACAAATAACAAATTATTTTTTATTATTATATGTAAGTAACTAAAAAACTATAAATATAGGCATAGTCCGCCTTTTGTTCTAATTTAAATGATATACCTTAATTTGGGCAAACTTATATTATAGGTACAGGTCGGGTCTTCGAAAAACTAAAAACCGTATATTGCAAACAATTT